AAGGTGAGAGGAGAGACATGAATGATGAGAACTTTATTATTTTTTCCCTTCAATCGACAAATAACCCCTCCAGGCTAAAGTATAGCAGAATGAATTCTCATAAACACAGTGTTTGTGGTAAATTATCTTTGTTAGTGAGGGGAAAAATCAATGTATTGATTTTTTTTAAATGGACAATACCTAGTTATAGGAGGCCTCAAAAACTCATCCTTTTAATCCAGAGGTCTCCTGAAAGAGAAGAATAAATAAGAGGATGAAGATGCTCTACCAAATAGAATGGAATTGTGGGAGTTTGGTGTTTATGGTTGGTATAGGAGGCAAGAGGAAATAACACTGGGGGTGAATTTCAGGACAACAACCAAAGTCTGGTATATCCGGGACCCTACCAATAGGAACTCTTAATTAACCCAGCCTTCTCCATTGTGTCAGCAGGATGCTTGTTGATACTGAGAATGACAACTGAAATAATGTTAAATTTGGAGTCATGATGCTTGAGTCTGAATCCTGGCTCAACCAATGAGGCAAATCACTTCATCTGAGTCTCCTCAACATACTCAACTATAAAATGGGAGGGTTGGGTTAGATGACTCCCAAGTCCATTCCAGTTCTGAATCAATGAGTCTATGATTCTGTAACTCTGAGGCACTACGGTGGCCTAAAAGTACCCTCCAAACTTTATGTACCATACCTTTTAAAAATTTAAGTAAAGTATTGGTACTATGCAATGAGTACACACATATTTTGTTGTTGTTGTTCAGTCACATCTGACTCTTTGTGACACTGTGGACCATACTGTCCACCCACTGGAGTTTTCTTGGCTAAATTCTGGACTGGTTTGTCATTTCCTTCTCCAGTAGATTAAGGAAAGCAGGTTAAGTGACTTGCCTAGGGTCACACAGCTAGTAAGTGTCTGAGGCCAGATTTCACCAGGTCTTCTTGACTCCAGACTCAGTGCTCTATCCATTGAGTCACCTATCTCAGTGGGTCTAAAATCTCATTTTTCCTAGAAAGGTACTATTGATGATGAAAACAAAATCTGATTTTCCCATAGAACCAGTGGGGAGTTAAACTTCTGATCACAGGACTGGGGCCAAACTTTTTTTTTAATCAAAATGATGATTAACGTCACATTTAATAATCTCTAAAGTCACTTTTTAAATATTTGCATTCTAGGATTTGGTACAAATGTAATATAAAGCTTTCTAACTTTTATGTGTGAGCCATACGAGCTCTGAGTTTCCTCATCTCAATGCCCACTCTCACAAATGAATAGGGTTCCCAAAGCTAGGCTAGCTCCATCTCCCCAGAACCTCAGAGGTTCTAGGGGTCACTCTAAGGAGCAATGAGATAACTTTCTTTAATGCCATCAATTTGAGCCCACCTTGATGTGGGTCCCCCCTAAGATTCTCAATTGAGAACAGATTTAGTCAGCCAATCTTTTAGAAAGGAATATTTACTAAAGTGAGAATAATTGCATACATACATCAATTGAATAAAGTCATCAGTTATAAAAAAATTGCATTTATAGTCCAGAAGTCTTGATTCTTTTTACCTTATTTTTGTGACAGCCATTGGGAGGCAAAGGCATTCCTTCATATGGGAGCAGCCCAAGGAGGTGTGATGGAAAGTGTACTGGACTTGGGGTCAGAAGAGACCCAGTTCCACCTCTGACTCAGCAAATCCCTCAGCTGTTCTGAGACTCACTTTACTCATCTATAAATTAGGGAGAATGATACATATTCGTAGTGCATACCCCATTGAATTGTTGTGGGGTCACTTAAAACAATGTCTGTAAAGCCCTTTGCCAGCCTTAAAAGACTACATAAATGTTGGCTTAGGGTAATGAGATTCAGAATCACTTTTTGGAGATTTTGACAGGAGGTGACATAGCATAAAGAAAGGAACACTGGATGAAGAATCAGGAGCCCCAAATAGCTTTGTGACCTTGGACAAGTCACTTAACATCTCTAACTCTCAGTCTCCTCATGTGTGAAATAAGGGAGTTGGACTAGGTGATCCAACAATTCAATTCAATAATTAGTAAGTGAGGGCTGAGGCATCAATGTACAATGGAAAAAACATTAGTTCTGGAGTGAGAAATCTTGTATTCAGATCCTATCTTTGATGCTTACTAGCTGAGTGACCTTGGGAAGGTTACTTAACCTCCCTAGGACTTAATTTCCTTTTCTGAGGGGCAGGGGGTGTTGAACTAGATGACTTCTGATATCCTTTCCAATTCTAGTTGCCAGGGGCAGCTAGGTGGTGCAGTGGATAGAGCACCAGCCCTGAAGTCAGGAGGACCTGAGTTCAAATCTGACCTCAGACCAAACATTCAACACTTAGTAGCTGTGTGACCCTGGGCAAGTCACTTAACCCCAATTACCTAAAAAACCCCCAACAAAACAAAAAGAAAAACAAAAGCAATTCTAGGTGCCTATGATCTGTGTGTGAGACACAAGGATTGGAGTCAAAACTAAAGATTACCTACCCTCAAGGAGCTGCCATTCTATTGAAGCATGCAACAGAGACATAGACAAGTAGAATACAAGATGAAGAGGGCAAAGGATGAATTAAGGTGCTCTAGGAAAATGTTGAAGTGGAGACAGAGCACTAACTAACTAGAGAATGAAGGAAGACTTTATGGAGGTGTTGGCAACTAAGCTAATCTTTGAATCAAGTCTTCCCAGCCCAAAGAATATTCATAATGGACCTGGGGAAGGTTTTCTGTGCAAATTCATGCATGTGGGAGATAGTATGTAGAATACAGGGAACAGCAGAGAGCTGAATTTGACATAATTTCCCCACTACCTACAAACATACTCAGGTCTCCTTATCTTTAAAAACACTCTTCACTTGACCCTACCATATCCACAAGTTACTGAGCTGTCTCTCATCTTTTCACGAACTCTTCTCAAGAGTTGTATATAATCAGGGGCAGCTAGATGGCATAGTGGATAGAGCACTGGCCCTGGAGTCAGGAGGACCTGAATTTAAATCTGGTCTCAAACCAGACACTTGACACTTACTAGCTGTGTGACCCTGGGCAAGTCATTTAACCCCAATTGCCTCACAGCAACAACAAAAAAGTTATATATAATCAGTGCTTCCACTCCTTCATTTCTCAACTCATTTCAGTGTGATTTCCCACCCCACCATTCTGCAGAAACTGCTCTCCAAGTTATTGATGATCTCTTAATTTAAAAAGTCAGTGACCTTTTCTCAATCCTCTGTACCTTTTGATTCTAGTAACAACCCTTCCTCATGCCTTTCTTTCCTTGACTTTTGTGACAGTCCTCTCTGTCACACACAAAAAAGTAGTCTTTCCTCCTATTTGTTTAATTGTTCATTCCGTTGCATTTTTTTTTTTTTGCTAGAGTGTAGAAGTTCTGTAAGGTTATATCCTGGAAGATCTTTTTCTCTCTATACGATTTCCTGTGGTGATGTCATTGGTTTCCACAAGTTCAATAACCACAGCTATGCACGTGACTTTCAAACATAAGTATCTAGTCCAATTTCTCCTCCTGAAGTAAAGTCCTGCTCTGCAGCAGCTTCATGGATAACTCTACCTGCATGTCTTGGTAGCACCTCAAACTCAACATATCCCAAAACTCACTGTCTTCCCCACTAAACCCATGCCTTCTCCAAATGTATCTATCTCATTTCAGAGCACCATCATTCTCCTAGGCACCCAGGTCCATAACACTGAAGATTTTTCATTTTTCCTTTTCTGACACCCTCAGCTTCCAACTCCTGTCAACTCTACTCCCAAAATATATCTCACATTGGTCCCCTTCTCTCCACTGACTCAGTTGACTCCCTAGCTCAGGCCTTCATCACCAGCATTATTCTAATACTCTCTTCATTAGTCTCCCTGCATTTTGTCTTTCACCTTTCCAATTCATCTTGCAGATGGTTGCCAAATGATATTCGTAAGGCACAGGTATGGCCAGGGCATTCTTCTCAAAAACCTTCCCAGGCTTCTTATTAACTTGGATAAAATCCCAGCTCCTTAAACGGATATTTAAAGCCCCTCACAACTTGGTTCCAACCTATCTTTCTAGATGTATTTCATATTACCTCTCATCATTCATGCTATACACATGAGGAAGGGTTGTTACCAGCATCAAAAGATACAGAGGATTGAGAAAAGGTCATTGACTTTTTAAATTAAGAGGTCATCAGTAAGTTGGAGAGCAGTTTCAGTAGAATAGTGGGGTGGGAAGTCACACTGAAATGAGTTGAGGAGTGAGGAGGTGGTGTGAAGAAGTGGAAGAACTGATTATGTACAACTCTTAAGAAGACTTTGACTGTGGAAAGGTGAAGAGGTATAACTCAGTAGCTTGTGGATATGGCAGGGCCAAGGGAAAAGTGCTTTTTTTGTTTGTTTGTTTAAGGAAAAGGAGACCTGATTATATTTGTAGGTAGTAGGGGGAAAGCCAGTAGATAGATATTGAAGAGGAAAGAGAAGGAGGGAATTGATCCCCTTTCCAGAAAAAAAAGGAGGTGGTAGATTCAGGGACAGAAGTAGAGAAGGCTAGCATTGGCCAGGAAAAGGGCTACCTCATTCTCTGTGACTGCGGCAAAGGAGATAAGAACAGGTGAAAAATGCAGAGGGTTTTGAGTTATAGAGCCAGGAATCCAGAGAGTTCCAAGAGGGTGGCCTTAATTTTTTCATTAAAGTAGGAGGCAAGATAACCTGTTGAGAGGGAGAAGTTGGTTGTAGTGTTGTACATTTGAGAAGACAGAGAAAGGCTTGAACCAGCAGCTTTGGGGAATATGATAGAACAACCTGGTAGATTTATAAAGTAAAGCCCTCTGCCTGAAATTATATGATCTCTGATAATACTTGGCACCACTTTTAGTATCACTTTTTGAGAAACGGATCAATCAACATGTGCTCATTTTGCTCCCTTCTTTTTCTTATGGAAAAATTTCCTGTAGCAAACACAAACATTTGAGATCAAACCGTTGGCCATTCTTCTACCTTTGAAAGAGCAAGTCTTTTTTCTTGTTCAAGCTTCCATGTCATCAGTGCCAATATCTTCTCCTTGAACCTTGATGTTTTGCAGGACACATCTGCCTTTCAAATGGATGAAACAACCCTTATTTGTATCTTTTGATCCCTTACAATGTCATTGCTTCACAATATAAAAGAGACAACATTTAGGCTTAAATAGTGGTCAGCCTCAAAGGCATGCAGCATTGAATTTGATCTTGAATCTTCCAAGTCAACTTATTCCATCTCACCAAAGTCCTGCAGGTTGGCTAAAGAGATTGAACCATAAGCCATGCCTAAAAAAATACTTTTTCATTTTATCATCCAATTTTAAGGATTTTTAATGTTTGGATAGTATAAAGTTATGACTTATTGTTTATTATACCATACATATTAGAGCTGAGACATCTTACTGAATGTTCTTCAAAGTGCCAGCCTTGGAAGGCAATGCATTTATTTAAATGATATGGCCATCATCCACAATGTTTTGTATCCCTAATTTGGAAAAGAGAGATGTTGTGGTATAGTAGATTGAGTGCTGCCGGACTCAGAGTCAGAAGAATTTCAGATTTGAATCTCACCACTATCTCTGTGACCATAAGCAAATTATTTAATCTCTTGGAGCCTCAAGCACCTCTAATAATATGAATTATAGATAAATTTCAGCCTCCATATATGAGGGAAATTCCTACATGGTCAAAATCATAAACCCATGACACATGAATTGATGTTAGAGACAGTTTAGTACCTTCACAGGAAAATGGTCCTTATGGCTTTATAGTCACTTGACAGGTTTCTTTGGTTTTAGATCTTTTTCTCCTTCAATTTCTAGCTCCTTTATTCAGTTCACTTTATTCCCATCTTACTTCCTTTCCCCCTTAAGTCAACATCTATGGAGATGGGGCCAGGAGCCCAGGGAGAGCTATTGTAAGCCTTACTCATCACACGTCAGGAGGCAGAATGACTAATAAGTTGTTCTCATCGTGATTCTTCTGGCTATGCCAGTTCCAAAGCTCCCCTAACTGTGAGTTGGAATCAGTACCCTATCTTCAGCATTCTAAGCTCTGAAAGCCAGTTCTGAAGATTAGTAGAAGTCTCTCATTTCAAGGGACAAGTCTATTTTGAACCAAGGGGTTCTGCCCTGATAAAAACAAAATGCTGTCTTCTCAATCCAGTCAACATGTCCCATATCAGTGCTCCCTTTACTAGGACCTACTGTTCTGTGCAGAGTAAAGGAGAAAGGGCGAATCATTATTTCCTTCCTTCACAATTGTGAACAGCTAGAAGTTATCCTCTAGCTATCCTTTCAGTATCCTTTGAAAATCATAATATTGTGAAGGATGGTTTAACAGCCAGATTCCTAATATTCAGTCACTCTCTATCTTGGAAACCATTTCCCTCAGATCCTGAGATGTCTATATCCCCATTCTCCTATTTTTGTCCATTTCTATCCCACAATAATATTTCTAGCCACAAAATCCATGTTTCTATCAGTATACACAAGACAGCTTTTGATCTATGGAAAATGATATAATTGTAACACACATGCAATGCTCTTCCTCCTTCATACAACTACCAAACTGTTCTTTCTTATACATAGATCTAGTCACATCTCTACTTTGCTCAAAGCCTTATGTGAAGCATGGCTTCTTTTGTATGTGATTACTAAAGGCAGTAGAAAAAGATACTTTTGTATGGAAAAATGATAAAATCCAATTGTAAATATACATTATCTCTCAGATAAAATGGCATGGAGAAACACAGATTATTATAAGACCTGGATAGAGAGAACTGTCCCATCAAATGAATGTATTGTGAGTACAGACTGGCAGAGGCAGGGCATCGTGACCAACCAGTACATCTGCTTGTGTGGCCTTCTGCTGTCTTCTCTGGTTTGAGAGGGAGAAACAGAGGAGAAAAAATATGCTTTGCATCCGTTTTGCTGTGATCTATGCTATAAGAAGAGAATTGGAGCTAATAGGACAGAGCCGAATGCTCAGCTATTTGTAAACCTGAAGAGCTTGGAAGTACTCTAATTTAAGGAAAGCACTTGTCACTGAAAGAGTGCAACACTTTTCTCAGCGCCCTGTTGAAGGTGGCTATGAATGAAAAGTTTGTCATAGTTACATTGACTCAAGGGCAGAAGAGGAGTGGTTTTTGCCCTGGAGGGGAATGGTAAGTTCTGAAAGGGGAACAGATAGCAGAAAAACAACTTTATGTAGTACAAATAGTTTCTGAAGGGATTAAGAACAAAAAAGTCCTGAGGTGGGAGCTGAGTCAAAAATATGAGTTTCTCTACTTATATGTCTACCTACTAGATTTATCTAAATATTTGTTCCCACCAGCCACAGCATGCATTAGCAAGAAGACATGACCCAGGCTCATGGGTAGACTGCAATATTATGATTATTTCTTCTCTGGTTTTTTCTATTGCATAAATATTATGGTTATTCCTGCTTTTGCCTTCTCATTTAGTAAGCATTATATTTAAGAGTTAATGGCTTCACGGTAACCAAGTTACCCCTAGATTCATACTATGACCCTGAAAGTAAAGAGAGTTGTGAGTGTTAACAGTATGGGCATGGCCTCTCTCTCTGTCTCTCTCTCTCTCTCTGTCTCTCTCTCTGAACCTTAGACCTGCCAGTATGAGTGAAGGTTGGTAGATTGAGCCAGCCCAGAGAAGGAGGATGGGGGTCAATATCACACCCAGATTATACTTACAAAAGCTACCTTCCAAGTTAAAAGAATTGCCTACCAAGTAAAAATCAAGATTCTTAGTCTCCTAAATAACCTGGGTGAGATCTATCACCAGCAAGTTGCCCTGCTGGTGATCTGCTTATTTTAGGCATTGTAAGCCTGGTGCCACCTTTCCTTTCTATTTAATTTCTTTCCATGAATTTCACATTCCAACCAAACTGCCCTTCTTGTCGTCTCTCATTCACATGCCATGCATCTTGAGTCTGTTTTACTTGTGCTGGTCTCTATGCCTGGAATGCCTTCTCCCTAATCTATTGAAACCCACCTATCCTTTAAAGCCCAGCTCGAATGCCAACCCCTGCTCCCAATTAGTTAATGACCTCTGCTTTGGACCTCAACGTGACTTTAAATGTGTGCTTTTCTTATGCATATATTATGTATTATATGTTATAGTTTTTTTGCATCATATTCTTCTGCAAGACTGTAAGTTCCCCTGTCACCTAGTAGAAGGTAAACAATAAATGGTTGTTGAATTTTACTTAATTTAAAAATGAAGAAATTGGATCAGATGATCCATAAGGTCCCTCTTCTCTCTAAAATTCTATGATACCAGTGCAAGTCTGGCATATCTTATATTTATTGTAAACTCTGATGGGTAAACTAAACTTGCTGAACTCAAGAGCCTCATTAAAGATTTACTCAACTTCTAGAGAGGTTGGAATGTGCTAGTCAATGTGAAAAAACCCTAGACTCATTGTCGCATGTTTAGTCTAGTCATTAAACTCCCAGAAATCAGTGAACTCCACTTTTGCATGGCCTGAGAATAAGCCAAAAACCATTCACTTTCTCTATGGTGAGCATTTTGCAGAAGCTAGGGGGATGAAAGGCAACGAGGCATGGGAAACAGAGGGCTGATGTTGGAATCAGGAAGACCTGGGTTCAAGTCCTATCTTTGATACATCCTAGCTTCGTGATCATGGGCAAGTCATTTCTCATTTCCACTAGGCAACTCTAAGACTAAAACTTACAGATGAGTTGCCAGTCGGCATTGGTGGAGGGCATTTCCATACCAGTGAGTTCCTCATGCTAGTGAAATCACAATTCTGAACGTTCACTCTGCCATACCTCCTCCACCTCCCCCCCAAAAAAAAAGTGAGGTAGGGACAGTGGGTGCTCTGAGGTGCAAGAATACTCAAAAATCCCATAATGTAGTTGTTATTCCCCATGCTCTTGCCTTAATGCTATAGAAACTGAGACAGCTAACTAGTTGTTCTATGAGTGGTTTGTTTATTTAGGTTTTAGGTACCTAAACCTCATCATTTCTGTGATCCATCCTTCATCCGTGGACAGTGCCATGAAGTTCACTGATGCAGGACTTCTTTGTGGGTCCCTACTTACTATAATTACAGCTTCCGGAACTACAATCAACTGCATTTGCTGTCAACTGTAAAATGAGCCCTTTGTCATCCAGATTTGCCAAAGTAATGCAGGAGATGTCAATTTTGTAGTTTCAAATTGCCTTCCTATTCTCTGACTCATCCTCTGCAAGGGTCAGCTTGGCTTCTGCCAGGAAATTGAAGCTCATTGGCTTCCATTTGAATTTCCTTGATTTAGAAGATGCAAAGGCACCCACAGGCCTTTTCATACCCTGTTGACTGAGGCCCTAATTACCTTTTCCACAGGGCACGGAATGAGCCAGCCTCCCATGTCTCTACCCCTTCATCATGGTCTCACCTCTTTCATAGTTCCTGGGGAGCTGCTACGCTGTGACCTTACCTTCTCCTTTCAACCTATCTCCAAAGACAGGATCAATACCTGCTGCTTGGCTTTTTATTCAGGTGATGGATAGCTTTGGGGATTCTCTTATCTTTCCTGGTCTGCTGTCCCCATCAGACTGTCCAAACTGACCTTCAGCCTGAGGTTCTGAAAAATGCCCATATTTTAAGGAAAGATTGATGATTCTCTCAGGATCAAATAAAAAGACAAATCTTTTGATCAGCTTGAGATCAAGGCCAGTGTTTGGCTTTGCTTTTGTTTTGCTTGTTTTTCACTTTAAAAAGTTGTCAATAGATGATCTCTCCTCACCTTGACTCCATTGCTGCCCCAAATTAATCAGATGTCCAGAGTGAAGAAATACAGCATGAAAGGCTATTCTCCTGGGGTCTTCACCTGGGACTATTGACATGGGATAGTCTCTTCTCAAAGATTTCTTCCAAGGATCTCAAGCTGAAAGGAATTTTGTTGTTGACGATGAGTTGTTTCAGTCATATACAACTTTTCGTGACCCCATTGGGGTTTTCTTGGCAAAAGTACTGGCATAGCTCACCATTTCCTTCTCTAGCTCATTTTACAGATGAAGAAACTGAGGCAAACAAGATTAAGTGACTATCCCAAGCTCATACAGCTAGTAAGTGTCTAAGACCAGATTTGAATATATGAAGATGTCTTCCTGTTTCCAAGCCCCGTGCTCTATCCCCTGAGCCACCTAGCTGCCGGAAAGGAACTGTAGGATCTATCTAATACAACCCACTCATTCTACAGATGAGGAAATTGAAAGCAGGAGTGGCTAAGTGAATTGCTCAAAGTCACAGAGTTATTAAATCATGGAGCTTCTATAAGATCCAGGCCTTAGGACTCCAAAGTTAGGGTTCTTTCCATTCACCGTACCCCCTTTCCAGAATAGGATTTTTCTTTGATAAGCTTCCTATTGGGCAAACTTCTAGATGCAGAAAAAGAAAACAGCAACTGAAAACAAATTGTCTTTGCTCCTTCTTCCTGGCTGGCTGAGGTAAAGTTACAAGAGATTCCTGTTTTCACAAGGGAACAGGATCTTCTTCCCCATCCTATGGATATTGTCTGGGTGTAGCTTTCAGGCCAGTATGGTCCTTTTCTTTCTTTGTCTAACATGATCTATAACTCCCATCTCATCAATGTTGCAATGAAAGAGAAGGACAAAGACTCTGATATTTTGTCTCTACTGTCTGTATAATCATGGTGGGAGAAGGGACCCTAGAGGTCTAATTTGACCTTAGGCATCTTAAAGATGCCTAAATTTGTTTTTAGAGCTCAATGCATAGCAAATTCACTATTCTCTGAAAAAGCCACTTTTAATTGTTCTAATTCCTGGTTGTAGCGAGCCTCACCTTACCAAAGATGCATCCCCTGAAAGCAAACCATAGCTCTCAAAATGTACATATCTATCAAAAACTATAATTCATTCATAAGCCACCACCAATGTTATTTTTGTCAGACTAACCAGATAACATATTAATTCAAAGCTAAGCAGTTAACTGAGCAATGTAGCAAGATGACAAAGAAAATTCCAACCCTTTCTTCTTATCCCCAGCACACACAGCAATACTTTCTTCCATATATTCCTATGCCACTGGGGGGAAGATAAATTTTCCAGTGCAACATATACTCCTAGGGCTTCATTCCAGAGAAAACTTCTCTCTGACTCTAGTATTGATTCTTATTGATTCTCTATAGGGCTGCTGATATCACATGCTGGTCTAGTGATGTCATTGAACAATAAGTCATTCTGCAAGTTTTGATACAAATTGCTTGTCCTCCTCTGGAGTACTCTCTCTTTTGTGCTACCATCTGCTGGGTCTCACCACTGAGTGGCTCTCTATTGGTTCTTTGCTACCATCTGCTGGGTCTCACCACTGAGTGGCTCTCTATTGGTTCTTTGCTACCATCTGCTGGTGCTCCTCTGAATTGCATTTATATGCCTTTTCCACAGGAAAAGTGAACTCTTTTTTAGTCCATTGTCCCAAGGGTTATTGCAGCTCTTTTATAAGTCAGGCTCACAGCTATGCCTGGCCAACCAGCCAGCAAGAGACCTCAGGCTAAGATTATACCTCTCTTTTGAATTCCTTTGCTTTAGCCTGAGTTCTGTTTTCTGAACACAGTGTACTATTTTATTCGGGGTAAGTTCATTCCTTTTAACTTCTATCCTGTCCCGGGGTTACTAGCTGGAGTCCAGATCACCCAAATTCCTTCAACCAGCACAAAGTCTAGTGCCCTCACAATTCTAAACCCTATTTTCTGGCTATATCATAGCTTGTCAATATGCCTTCTAAAAAATATGGTACCCAGAACTAGACATAGTCTGACCAGGGCAGAGTAGAATTGGGACTATTATCTCCCTCACTTGAGAGTTCCTAGTGTAATAGATATGTAGCTAAGTCATTTTTGTCCCAAGGGCATTTGAAGATAAAATTGAAAGGGGAGATGGACCAAAAATAGAACAAATCTACCCATATTTTGATAGTAATTTTTGTTCATCAACAATGATAATACAGCTACCACATTTAAATACTACCAACTCAGTTAACAATGTACTATACAGGGAAATGGCAATTAAAGGTAAATATGCAAGACAGCAAGAGTGGTTAGACCTTACCAAATAGAGAAGGATAACTTGGTATAATATACAGAGTCCTACAGAGAGAAGAAATTCATAGTGGAGGCTATACAATTTTAAAGCCACTCAAGCAATGATTTTCAAGGTGTCTCAAAGAGGGAAGTATTCCAAAAAATAACAAATAAAAGAACATCACAGATGGTGCTTTTACTTAAAAAAAAAAAAGAGTGACCAAGATGAAATCAGTAACTATCAACCCATATGGCAGCTTTCTCATCCCTATAAACCCTTTATGAGAATGCTCTATGCACATGTTACAGTTTTCCTAGATGAAAATATGAAAAGAAAGTAGACAGGCTTTTACAGAGGATTTTCTACAGCAAACAGTATCTTCTGGTAAGTCAGCCAATTAGAATTTATTAAGTGCCTACTATGTGCTAAGTGCAGGGGGTACAAAGAAAGGCAAAAAACCAAAACCAAAATAAACAAACAAAAAACCTCTCAAGGAATTCACAGTTTTCTCTGGGAGAGACAACATGCAAACAATTAATACAAACAAAATATATACAAGAAAAATCAGGGATAGTCTCAGAGGGAAGGCACTAAAATTAAAAAGGACTAGGAGGGGATCTTTGAAGAAAATGAGACTTTAGCTGAGATTTGAAAGAAGCCAGGGAAGCCAACAGGCGAAATAAAGAGGAGATCCTGGGGGAGAACCAGTGAAAATGTTTGGAGTCAAGAGATGGCATGTCATGTGTGGGGAACAACAAAAAGGCCAATGTCACTGGATGGCAGAGTTCATGTGGGGAAGTAAGGTGTAAGAAGACTAGAAAGATAGAAAGGAGCCAGGTAATGAAGGGCTTTAAAAGCCAAACAGTCCTAGGACTGTTTATATTTGATCCTAGAGGAAATAGGGAGTCATTAGAGTTTATGAAATGGAGCAGGGAGGAGGTCTACTGGTCGGACTTACACTTTAGGAAGATCAATTTAATGGCTGAAAGGAAGAGGGACTGAAGTATGGAGAGACTGAGACAGGAAGACCAATCAGTAGGCTATTGAAATAGTCCAGGTGTGAGGTGGCAAAGACCTGTACCAGGGTGGTGGCAGTGTCAGAGGAGTGGGGGATGGCATACGAGAGGCATTATGGGCAAGTTAGGAGTCAGGGGTGACACCCGGATGGTGAACTTGAGATACACAACTGATTGAGAGGTAGAGAGAAAATAAGACCCTGAGGGATCTATTTGGAGTTGATTTAGGCAAAATGGCCTAGAGCAGCAGTATCAAACTCAAATAGAAACAAAGGCCACCAAACTACATTTAGGAATCCCTGTAGGTTACATATTGACTAAGAAAACTACACATTTATGTATTTCTTTTTGCATTAATACATCACCACTTTAAAATTAGATAAGAACTACATATTAACCTGGCTCAGAGCACAGTCAGGAGTGTTATATGGCCTGCGGTCCATGTGTTTGACCTTTCTGGCCTAGTGGATAAAGAGACAAGAACTAGATTCTCACATGTACTCAGTGTGTGACTGAACAAGCCATGTAAACCTCTCATTATTCTAGGCAATACTAGGACTGTAAGTTATAGATTATGCCAGACTGCAAGAGTTTCCCCATCTGATAGCCCTTTTATCCATGAAATCTCACATCCATTCCTTTTCCTTTTTAAAAGCATTTGACTCTGTAAAATAAATTTGCCTTGAAGGGTCACCTCAAACATGGCATCTCCCATGTAGCCTTCTCATGACACAAAGAACCTATGTCATTTTCTTTTTGTTTTCATTTTGTTTTTCAAGGACAGGAATCTCACCTTTCTGGCTCTTTGTCTCTACCCAGGTGACTTGGAAACTTCACTTTCTCCACCTTTACTTATAATCATGAACTTCACTTGGCTGAAAGAATAAATACATTTAATTACAAGTCAAAAGACCAACAAGAACAAAAAAAGACAAAGGTCTTGGGATCTAAAGCCACCCCTCTTATGAACACCCTGCCCCTGAGACATGTGCAGCTTCAGTAGCCTGTGGTCAAGGCCCAAGTAGGCTCTCAGCAAGTGCCACCTCCAGGGAAGCTCCTGTGCCTGAGATCACTACTGACCTTGATATTTCATCACACCCTGCTCATCAAACTGCCTCCAGAGTCCCCTTTTACCAACCTGCATGGTCATATATTCTCCTTGTCAAGCTGCCTACAGTTAGTTCTTAGCTCCCAGTAAAAAAGGTATTGTCTATCCTAGGGGTGGGGTCCACATGTGGCCCCTTAGGTCCCCAAGTGCAGCCCTTGGACTGAAACCATTGGATTTCAGTGCCCCTGGTCTATCCTGTATCAACATCTTGCAATGACCTAGAGTCTAAAGTCCTCCAACTATCTCTTCTAACTCCATTAGTGTCCCTGCCAGTCCTTCTTGGGCTAACTAGATAGAGTTATTTAAATGACCAGAAATTGCTTCAGTTCCATTGACTGTAGAGTGATAGAATTGAGGAGCCAAGCATTCCTCCTTCTACCATGACCAGAGGTGGTGAGGGGAATAAAATTTTACTGTTTCTGTTATATATACACATTGAAGTTATATGTCTAATACAGATATGACTAGAAATGACTTTATTCAATAATCTATTGCCTGCTGAGACTGAGTTAAAATGGCTATTTCGGGGCAGCTAAGTGGCGCAGTGGATAGAGGACCGGCCCTGAAGTCAGGAGGACCTGAGTTCAAATCCAGCCTTAGACCAAACACATGACACTTACTAGCTGTGTGACCTTGGGCAAGTCACTTAACCCCAATTGCCGAAAAATAAAATAAAATTCTTTTTTAAAAAATGGCTATTTCACTCAGAATCTAGTACTACAAGATAAAATAATAAGCCCTATCTCCTTCCCTACCTACCTGCAACCCAAACCTCATCCGTCAATGCTAGAGGGGAAGGAAAACAAATATTGATTGTGTACTATGTGCCAGGCACTGTGCTAAGTGCTTTACAATCATTTTATCCTTATAACAACCCTGGGAATAGATGCCATCATTATCACCATTTTACATTTGAGGTAACTGAGGCAGACAGTGGTTAAGTAATTTGCTCAAGGTCACACTGCTAATATGTGTCTGAGACTGTATTTGAACTCAGATTTTTCTGGACTTCAGCCACAGGGTTCTATGCAATGTGTCACGCAGCAGTAAGAATTACAGTTAGAAATGTAGGTGTCTTGCTTTTCCAGTTAATGGATGCTAGGAAACTGAGTGGATTATCTAGTACATTGGGTTATGGAAAGAAAGAAAAGAAAGAAAGAAAGAAAGAAAGAAAGAGAAAAAAAAAAGAAAGAAAGAAGAAAGAAAGAAAGAAAGAAAGAAAGAAGAAAGAAAGAAAGAAAGAAAGAAAGAAAGAAAGAAAAAAAAAAGAAAGAAAGAAAGAAAGAAAGAAAGAAAGAAAGAAAGAAAGAAAGATAGAAAGAAAGAAAGATAGAAAGAAAGAGAAAGAAAAAGAAAGAAAGAAAAGCAAAGTGGTGACAAACTATCAAAATGAACTGAAACTAATAAGATGAAATTTAATAGGAATAAATATGAAGTCACACATTTAAGTTAAAAAATAAGCTGCCCAAGTACTAGATGAGGGAGTTATGGATAGAGAACAGTTAAATAAAAGCCTAGGGGTTTTAGTGGACAATAACGTTAATATGATTTAAGGGTGTGTTATTGACACAATAGTCAAAAAAGCTAATGCAAATTTAGGCTAAGGAAGATGACTCCTGGTCCTGGTCATATTATATCTAAAGCGTGTTCAGTTCTGGACACCCTGACTTTGACAAGCAACAGCTTCAGAGAAGATAGCCTGGCTGGGGGGAGGTGAGAGGACTGGAAATCACAGCCAGGCTGGAGGACTGGGAGTGGAGGCTAGATAATTATCTTCAGATATTTAAAGGGCCTTCATGCGGGAGGGAGATTGGACTTGTTCAATTTGGTCCTAAAGGACAGAATTAGGAAGAATGGGTAAAAGTTGTACAAAGGCAGATTTGGGCTCTATATAAGGAAAAAATCTCCTAATAATTAGAGCTGTCTCAAAGAGAAATGGGCTGATACCATAGGTGGCCTGTTTCCTGTCACTATAAGTCTTAAAGCAGGGGCTAGATGACCATTCCTTGAAGAGATGATTCCTATTCAGGCATAGATGACCACAGACACCCTGAGACTCTATGATTCTCAAATTAAACATTTAAGATGTCTCCTTTTACTTTAGAAAAAATAAAAAGAAGAGGGTCCTACATATCAGGGGTATATCAGAGGCAGCTCCTACGTGCCCTGAGAATCAGTCATTACACTTTCGAAATCAGCAAAGACCTACAGTTGATTGTCTAGACTTAAGAAAGTGATGGAAAAAATATATATAATGCCGATTCAACTGAAAAGAGCCAGCTGTTAAACATTTGTCAACATACCCCTGTGTAATAGCCATCTTCTCCCTGCAACCCTTTCAGGCAGGTGCACTTTATGTGGGTCTTGCTTCATGTCTCTTATATTGATCTAAAGAGTGATATTTAGAAAAATTAAATTTTTAAATAAACAGAAAGACATCTGAAGGCTAACCAACCCTCAGCGGGTAACCTGAGGCTAACTGAGGGTGTTGGTTCTCTGAGAAGAGCCAAGAGCATGCTAGAAGACCATAATATACCCAGCTGGCATAATTATTAGCCCTAGGTCAAGTTATGAAGTAGGCAGAATTTGTCAGGGAGGCTACAGTACAGCCAGTTCTGACGGCCTAGGTCAAGACTAGCTGATTTCAGCATTTCAAGGCACAGTTCCCTAAGTATCTGACAAAGTCTCTATAATGGCTATGGTTCACGTCTCTAATTTTTATAACATTTTAATTCTTCAAAAGAGATCCATATCAATCTGTAGAGATTGCTGGGTTTTTTTTTTTCACTCAGACTCACAGTGTGTGTTGTGTATGTGGGTGCATGCTGTGTGCACCAGAGATTGACCTGCTGAGTGGTGCCATGAAGTATTTATGAGGGGATATCATTTATGGAGAGATAAAATTGTGATAGTTTTATAGTGAAAAGCAAATAGCACCAAGAAGGTAAGAAACACCTTTTGTGCCTTGTTGACGGTCTCCACAACCAGGGTCGGTGAGACCTGTCAAGCTGTCTGGTTTCAAAACACTGGTTTTATAATCACCATAAAGGGAGCACATATCAAAAAATATGGACTTGTTTACTCCTGAGAGGTTTTATTATTTGTATTAACTATTAGTCAAATATGGAGTCTGCAAAGTTATTTGTGAGAAGAAACATTTGGGTATGTTAGTAAGAATAACAGTGAGTCACTGAGAAGTGGGTTATAAAGGTATTATCACTCTCATCTTTTAGATGAGAAAACTGAAACTCAGAGAAAGCATGTGAACTGCCCATGGTCCTACAGCCAGTGTAGTGGTGGATAGATTTGAACATACCTATTCTGACTTTAGGTAAACAGCTCTTTCCACTACACCAAAAAGCATTTATTAAATACCAACCTGAGGGACACACATTTTTATCTCACTTTGAATATGAGGGAACATTATGGTCTAGACCCCAATATTATAACAAAGTTCACTCAAGCATCTTTTGGGTACTTAAAGGTTGTGAACTGAACCAAAGTCACTGCTGGTTAATGAATGAATGAACGGGGACAGCTAAGTGGTGCAGTGGATACAGCACCAGCCCTGAAGTTAGGAGGATCTGAGTTCAAATCTGCCCTCAGACCACACACTTGACACTTACTAGCTGTGTGACCCTGGGCAAGTTATTTAACCCCAATTGCCTAAAAAAGAAAAAAAAATGAATGAATGAATGAAAAAACATTTATTAAACATTTACTCTGTGCAAAATACTGTGATGAGTAATGAGGATACAAATACAAAAAGGAAGAGACCTGTCCTCAAGTAGTTTATATTCTAGTAAGAAATAGCAACACATAAAGAGGAGTAGTATCATCTCATATATAGTTGTTGTTGTTGTTTCAGTCATGTCTGACTCTTCATGACCCCATTTTGGACTTTCTTGGCAAAGATACTGGAGTGGCTTGCCATTTCCTTCTCCAGCTCATTTTACAGATGAGGAAACTGAAGCAAACAGGGTTAAGTGACTTACCCAGGGTCACACAGCTGGTAAATGTCTAAGACCAGATTTGAACTCCTGAAATGTCTTCCTGATTCCAAGCCCAGTGCTCTAACCACTGTGTAACCTAGCTGCCTCATCTCATCTAACCCAAGCATTTTTCCTCACTCTCTCCTTCTTCAGCTATGTCTTACAAGAACAGGTGGCTCTTTTCTTAGCCAAGGCAAACCCCTGTACATGCACCCTTGATTCCACTTTATCCTATCTTCTACTTCAGATTGTTTCCTCTATCATCACCACTTTCTCTGTTCAATCTCTTCCTACCTACAGGCTCCTTCTCTGCGGCCTGGAAATATTACCATGTTTCCCCATTCGTAAGGAACTCTCATTTGATCCAACCATCCCTGTTAGATGTTATCCTATATTTCTTTTCCCCTTAGGAAGGTCATCTATAGAGGATGACTCCACTTCTCCTCATACTTTTTTTTAAATTGGGTCTCCCTATCTATCCTTAGCTATATGTCCTTGGCTGGAAATACAGAAGCCACTCACTGGCCCAATCCTACTACTGTTTGCTATAGGAGTTTTGGCCTACCCCATTTCTAACCTGGGCTAGATCAGCCCTCCTAGGGGCTCACTCCATGAGTGCCAGACTCAGTGTGCGTTCCCAATTAGCTTCACTCCACTGTTACTTAAAACTCATAAACTCAAGTGATCTACCAGCCTCAATCTGTCATTCTCTTCTAAAGTCTCTGCACCTTGACTTTTGGCCTCATCCTTTAAACTGCTATCCATAGCATTATCA